TGCACGGCAGTGCATCAGGCAGCAGGTGGATATGATTGCTCACAGGGAGAGCAGAGCAGGCAGACAGGCCAGAATCATAACAGTACCCCCTCCTCAAGGTCCGGCTCCGGACGGACCACCAGGCTGATCAGGGTGGAGGTGGTGGAAGTCCCTGATGAGAGTCCGGTCAAGGATAAAACGGCCTGGAATCCAAGTCCGTTCCTCTGGTCCATATCCTTCCCAGTCCACCAGATATTGGACCCCCCGTCCCCGCCTCCTGGATCGGAGGATACGGCGGACCATGTAGATAGGGTCACCATCCAAAAACCGGGGCGGAGGAGGGGGATCAGAGGTGAGCCCAAAGCGAGGTGGGACATAGGGCTTTACCCGGGACACATGGAATGTAGGTGTAATCCACATAGACCGGGGTAACTGGAGACGGACAGCCACTGGGTTCACAACCTTGGCAATTGGGAAAGGGCCGATAAAGCAGGGTGCCAACTTACAGCATTCCACCCACAGGGGAAGGTCCTTAGAGGACAACCAGACCTTCTGGCCCACCTGGTAATCGTGAATGGGTAGACGATGGCAGTTGGCAGACCTGGACTGAACCCCAGACATCCTGATCATGGACCTCCTGGCCCTCCTCCAGATACGTTGACACCTGATGGCAGCGGCGTAGGCAGAGAGGACTTTGGCCTCCCTTTCTTGAATCGAGAATGTCGGTGGCTGAAAACCATAAACAACATAGAAGGGGGAAAGACCAGTGGTACAGGACGGGAGAGCGTTGATAGCCTGCTCCACCAATGGTAAGCTGTGAGACCATTTGGTTGGGTAAGACTCACAGAGGATGCGAAGCTTTGTTTCGATCTCTTGGTTGGCCCTCTCCGTCTGTCCATCAGTCTGTGGGTGGAAACCAGAAGATAAACTGACAGAGATGCCCAGCATGGAGCAAAACTCCCTCCAGAAACTGGAAACAAACTGTGGTCCTCTATCCGAGACAATGTCCTTGGGCAGGCCGTGAAGACAGAAGACCTCACGAGCTAAGACCACCCCCATCTCCTTAGCAGATGGTAGTCCCTTGAGGGGCACCAGATGAACCATCTTGGAGAACCTGTCGATGACAGTCAACAGGACAGTGAAACCATTAGAGGGGGGCAGACCTGTGACAAAGTCCATGGCGATGTGAGACCAGGGACGGCATGGGATCGGAAGGGGTCGCAGCAACCCCGGAGAGCAGAGCAGGCAGACAGGCCACAATCATAACAGAAGCATTTGCGGAGCAGCAAGCTCCCCATAGGGTCTAATGTAATTCTCCCAGCGCGATAGGAGACTCTTTTTGAGGAAGCTACGCTTGTAGCTCACTGTCTGCATTGCTCTGGTTGCAGAGAGTTGTCGGTTTTGTAGAATAAATAATTTGCAGACGAGTTTCAGCAGCCACGGCGCTAATTGGGCATTTACATCTGAGAAGGGATTCATGAGTTGTGAAGTACTGTTGGGGGGACTGGAAGCTGAGAAAAAATTCTGGTATCTGTGGGATTTCTAGTGTCAATTCACCGTTTTACAATGTCTCTTCATGTGGACATTTGTCCTGCTTTTTGTAGATGGATGCAGCCAGTCCAGTCTGCTTCATCAGGAACCTCTTCTTGTCCCCAGTGGGAAGAAAGATTCAGAACCAGGGCTGGACTGCTGACTGACAAACAGTGCAGCTTTGCAGCAGGTAAGCCTGAGCATCTTCAAGCAGAACTTCCTTCTCTTGTCTCTGGAATAAACACTGGTGTCTAAAAGTTTGTGATGAATTATTTTCACAGAATTTCTGTTTTTCCAGTGTGTGTAAGCATAACATTTGTGTCCAGCCCAAAAACAGATTAGATTTTTTTCATGAAGGTTCTGTTTTCAGTGCTTTTGCTAGAATCCATTACAGTGGGGAAAAGCAGTTTTTGAACACCATGCTATTTTTCAAGTTCTCCCACTTAGAAATCCTTGGAGGGAGTCTGAAATTGTCACAGTAAGGTAAAACTGCAAGATGGCGCCAGTGTTTGAGGCTTGCCGTCTGACTCTCCTCCTGTTTTGTCTCTCTCTCTCCTGTCAGGTTTTAATTTTATTTCAAATGTAAACTCTCTGATTGTGTATGATCACCAAACATTGCTGGATATTTGTTCCTCAGCTAGAAACACTTTACTGAGGACGTATAATACAGAAAAACTTCGACCCTGCCGTCGGGCATTCCAGCTCACCTGTGTCGTTTCTGGATTTTGCCTTTCCGTTGGAAGCGGGTGCGCCACCGTGGAAGGCGCAGCGGTCAGCTAGTGCGATCGAAGGCTGCTCTGCGGCGTTGTTTTTCTGTCTCCACGATGTGTGGTCTGGTGCCTCGCCTTTCCTGTCCATTCCGTGTGTTGGATCATGTGGATTCCTGTCTGGTTCCTGTCGGTGGAGGCCGGGATGGAGTGTTCCAGTCCCGTGGTCCCTGCGTTTTTCGGCCCTGTAGACGCAGGGTGAATCCTAGCAACCTACGCCCTCTCTGCCGGGAGTCCCGGACGGCAGCTGATGACGTGGATCCGCCGATTTCTGTGAGGATCGGTTTGGTAAATGCCAGGTCGCTGGCAAATAAAACT